GCTGCCGTGGAATTCGTCAGTGCATCCCAAAGGAAGATTGGACTCTTCGAGAGTGAACGTAGACCGGTAGATGCTGCTACTGCGAACATGCTGCTTTGCGAAATCAATGCGCTGACGGCACTTGTGGCGGGTGCGCAATGCCCAACCTGCCGCGAACGGAAGCTCGGCGTGCGAGAGCCAGCTGGAAAGCGCAAAGGACTTTCGGCATTCCTCGAACTGCGCTGTCAAAATTCTGATTGCCCTGAATCTGCACTTTCGTTCACGCACACGTCGAGACGTACTGCTTCGGCCGGGGACCAAGGAACGAGCGCTCGTTTTGACAGCGGCAGCTCGCGTGACAGCTTTGCTGTAAATGTAAAGGCAGTTCTGGCAGCACGCGCTATAGGCGCAGGCCACGACCAACTTTCACGATTTTGTGCGATTCTCGGTCTTCCGAGCCCGATGCATCACAAGACATTCAACGGCATTTGCAAGAAGCTCCATGGTGCGGCGATGACGGCAGTGAGCAAAAACTTGCACCAGGCACGAAACATCACGAAGGACGCAGTCGGCGGCAGAGATGTGCCAGTCATGTTTGATGGCACCTGGCAGAAAAGAGGTCAAAAAAGCCACAATGGAGTGGGCACAGTCGTGTCCCTGGACACAGGGCTCTGCCTCCATTTTGAAGTTCTTTCGAACTACTGCCATGCTTGCAGTATACACAGGGACCTTGGGGAGGATGAAGAGATATGGCGAGCTTTTCATCTTCCAGTTTGCCAAAAAAACACTGACTGCTCATCCCATGCAATGGAACCTGCTTCAGCTGTCAATATATGGCAGAGGACCTTGTCTTATGAAACTCCACTGTGATTCACCAGCTTCCTAAGTGCTGGTGACAGCAAGGCCTACACTGCAGTCTGCGAGGCAAATGTATACTGTGACACCCCCATTGACAAAGAAGAGTGCACGAACCACGTTGCAAAGCGCTCGGGAACTGCCCTACGAAAATTGGCAATGCCACTGCCACGAGGCGAAAAACTGAAAGATGCGACAATAATAAAACTACAAACATATTACAAGATCGCCATCACGAGCAACAAGGACAGTGTCCGAAATATGTACACTGCCATATGGGCATCGTATTTTCATTGCTGCTCCAGTGATGGTGCCAGTAGCCACAACTTTTGCCCCACGGGACCAAATTCGTGGTGCAAGCACAAGCGTGCGGAAGCACTGGGGGAGCCTGCACCACTCCACACCCCACTGTTGACGAAGGCTCAAGGATTGGCAATTATGTCTATCTACAAGCGCCTTACAGAGGAGAAACTCCTTATTCGGTGCCTTCATGGCAAGACACAGAATGCAGCCGAATCGCTGAACAGCAAGATATGGCTGCTATGTCCAAAAACAAAGTTCGCCTCCAGAACAACTGTGGAGACAGCCACCGCTCTTGCTGTACTCTGGTACAACAAAGGCCACAGGGGCTTTGAAGAAGTGCTCGAAGGCATTGGAATTCTCCCCTCACAAGATCTGGCCACACATGGCGACCACTGTGACGTCATGCGCATCAGGAAGATGAACCTGAAGCAAACTGCAGAAGCGAGGGCACACCGTCGCAACACAGCGAAGAGAGCTCGTGTTGAGGACACTGACCGCAAGAGCCGTGAAGGACCAAGCTATGGTGCAGGGGACTTCTAGACACTTGCAGTGCATTCAAGGCAAGGTACTTTTCATTGTGCCCCAATTTGATGCAAAAAGAATGATTTCTTAATAAATGCCAACTTTGCAAACTTTCAAACTTGTTTTTCTCATTTTCATTTTTTCTGACAGTTTCACGTTTTCCGGGCAGCCTTTTAGAAACTTATATTCATTGTATAGTAACGAAACTTGGCACACATATTCTTCAACACATGCAGAATGCAAATATCTACTCTAAATTGCAATGCCTACCAGCATTAGTTGTGAAAATATTAGCTTATTGTTTCAAGGGAGATTGAAAATAATAAGTCATTCAATACAATTTTTTTCTTGGTTCCAATATTTCTGTGACATATCTATATAGATATTTGCACTTTTCAATCTACCAAGAGTCAAATAAGATCAGACACAGTGCTTTTACTGAAAGTTTAGTACATAAAAGAGTGCCCGCAAAAAATGTAACTTTTTGCTATTGTTTATGGCATAACTCAATAATTATAGCAGCTACACAAAAAATGATTGCGTATTTGAAATCTGCATGAAAAACTATACTAATAACAAACTTTTCAAGTCTCTATTACCAGAAATAAAAAAAAAAACTTTTTCGAGGAGCGTCTCCCCTTAAGTGTTCATTTGTACTTTATGTTTTGTGTTCTTTTTGCCTAATATTGAGTGTCATTCTTGCTCTGTTTAACTATTGTGTGCTTTATTAGGGCGAATGGAGTTGTGAACTTCAACATTGGTGCTTATGCGTGGAGATAGGGATGAAGGACGCTTTGCACCTTTGCTCGCGCAGCCATTGGTGGTGTGTGTGTGTGCGTGTTTATGTGCATGTGTACGTGTGTGACACTTCTGTGCGTGCCCGGGAAGAGTGCGTGTTGGGGTTTCGTCCCATCAACGGGGACACTGGCGGTGCTCAGTGCCCTTACCTACTGACGTCAGACAGTCCAGCTGTGCCCTGCTCTCGGCCGTCGCCGAGAAGCCCTGCATAGACCCCTGCTGCTCCTTCTACCTTGGCTCCTGCGCGAGGCCAGCTGAGAGCAGCTATATGCTGCCTGCCAACGCCAGGACGCCTGGACGCCAATTTCAGTTCGGCCTCCCTGATCCCTAGAGAGCCCCGGCTTCCCAGCGAGGTTCCCCCGTTATTCATTGAGAAAGGCGGGGCCCCCGAACGCCCACCAAAGCGGCGTTCGTCGGACTTGCTGACTAATCAACAGCAGCCATGAGCCATCAGTGAACCCCTTTCGTGCCTCTGACCTCGCACACGGACATCGCACCCAGCGGACAATATCACGCTCTGCCGCAACCCCCCTCTGTGCAATGGACGCTATCCTGCCTCAGCACCACAAACTCTAGCCTTACCTCCTTTGCGCTTTTTTTTTTTTCGCAAACATGTTATAGCGTCATGTGTTTCTTTCATTATTATTGTTTTCTTCTTTGTCATAATTTTTTAGCAGCAGTTTGCAGCGCTAAAATGACGTTAGCTGGTGCTCATAGCAGTGTCATTTTAACTGCATGGGTGATGTCCGGCTGCCTTTGCAAGCTGGTAAAGGGCAAATTTAGCAGAGGGGGATGTGAGAATCGAGACTAGCCCGCCGCCTTTACGCGGGCTTTGCCGCCTCTTTTCGCCGTTCTCATGTCCCGACATGACTCTATAGTCAGCCGCGCTGGGGGAGCGGAGAGCGACGTTTGACCCCCCTCACCCAGTAGCAGATGTCGACTGTGACACCGTGCACAGAGTCTCTCGGGGCGTTTTGCGCGCGCGCGTCAGGAGTGAGAGAGTACTTCTCCGGAACTACATGGGGTAAGCACGCATTTTTTTCCGTCTGTCGGCTTCTTTTGTTTGGGGCTCGTTCGGACTTCGCCAACGGCGCCTCGCGCCCGCAGCGAACGCTTACCTTTTGTCCCCCCCCCCCTTCTCCCCTTACCGAACGCTAGGCAGAAGAGCGGTGCTGTCGTGCCATGTCCTAGTGCGTGGTCATACTACGCCGACTCATAGCTCTTATATGCCAACACGAGCAGAGCTTTTGCCCTCGCTCCAGCGACTGAGCCTTTTGTCATGGTGTCACCGTGAATCACTTTCGCCCACAGAGACAGGTTGCGGCACCTTGTGTAGTACTTCTCACCCGTGGCATGGATACGCCCATTTGCTTTCCTGCCGCGCCTTTTGCCACGGGCTCTGTACTGCGCTTTCGGTGTTGCCACAGGCAATAAAGAGTTGCGACCTTAAGCAGTATCATGCTCTCGCCACGGCAGCGGTTAACGCGTGCCTTGCGGCTCACTACAACCGGACCCACGTCAGTGGCCGTACTCCTTCGGGATAAGTGTACACTACACATTTTAGCTTCATGCCGATGTGTTCGTGGTGGAAACATTGTGCCGGGCTGAAGAAGCCCGCCAAATCGCTTGTGCACAATGGCATCAGCGATACAATGAACGCCATGATGCCATTTCTTTCGTGAAAAATTGATTTGCTGCACAAATTTGAAGGAAAACAAGGGAGACAGGAAAGAGCACAGTTTCACGCAAGCCATAGCAGCTTGTGGCTTCTTCAGGTAACGTGGGAAAGAGTCCGCAGAACTAGAAATTTGTTGAAGCAATTCTTTGTTGTAGCAATACTGCGCTCTTTCCTGTCTCCCCTGTTTTCCTTCAAGTTTGTGCAGCAAATCAATTTTTCAAGTATGAACCAACTAGTCTGCAAAAAAGTATTGCCATTTCTTTCGTTTGTGTGGTTGTGGACCCCCCAATGAAAACATGCTTCATGCCAGAACCTTTTATCATAGTATACAGGCTTCTTCGTCATTGTAGATCACTTGAGTGACTTGACGTAGGTCGTGACACGCTTGGAGACATGTCGTCGTCAGTCAAATCGAGCAAGTCAAATCCGTTCAGTGACTTGGACTCACCCAGTGGGCTTCGTCTGTGAACCGGGGATCGCTACGGTATGAGCCACGCTGTCGTATGTGTCGGTGATGTGGGAGAGAAAGACAAGGTTGTCTGCTATGGCCTGAGCACTTCAGCTTTACTTATGATTGCCTAATTTCATCCTCACCCTGTAAATAAACCCAGTCATTCTTTATTCAACTGTAACACTATATTTTTTAGAAAGAGCATTTCATTGTGCAAAATTTTGCATGCTGCAATGCATGCTGGAGTAGTTTTCAAACTGGCAAAAACTATATTCCCAAGACATAAAAAATAGCCATTTTGGTGCGACAACAAAAGAGTTAATGATTTCCAAGGTCAGAGGGAATTGACGAGGCTTTGTTTGTTGATGTGTTTCTACAAGTTTGTTAAGCAATGCCATGCCTTCTTTGCTGCAGTCATTTGTCAACATTGGGAAATTGAAGCAGCTTCGATGGCTGACGCTTGAGCGAGGTGAGGACAATGACGGTTTTCGGACCATGCTACTAAGGCTGGAAAAGTGAGTGTTCATTTTTGCAACATTACAGCTTTTTGTTAAATGTTGCCATCATAGGCTAGAAATCTCAGTCATAAGTTGGCACTCAGCACCTGAGTTCAAGCGAGCTCAGCTGAGCATAATTTTAGTGAGTATTGAACTATTGTTCTAAGGTAATAAAGTGCATTCATTGGCATTGTGCTGTGTGCAAAACTGAGTAGTGTCGCCTACACTGGTGATGGCAATGATTTTGTGCACGGAAGTTGACTTTGGAAGTTCACTACAATGCAATTGGGATACGTATTCCTCATTTTCAGCGACAGGTACTTCGAGGACACAAGTGATAAATGGTACAGGATTGCACTTAAGGTGACCACTGTTTTGTTAGCCTTTGGGTAAATATTTTTTGAGCATTGTCCAGGCTGCTATTACGAACTTCTTCTTGTTCAAGCGGCCTGGGCGACTTGCTCATGTCGCACCTCGTGGCATAGGACCTCTGTCATCTCATTTAGGACATTAGAAAGGCCATTAGGGGCACAACAAATGTTTCTTTGCAAAGTGAACATGACAGCCTTTCTATAACTCGGTGAGCTTATGTGCTGCATGACTTCGTTCATTTGTTGCAAGTTTCCTTGAGGTATCCTGTGCCCACATCCACTGGTACTGTGCGAAGCCCCTCACAAGGGTGTCTGCTACTGCCCTTAGTGTCACTATGCACTCGATCTAAGGGGAGTGTTGTGACCCTCTATCTCACATGGCTGAGCCTCTTAAGTGAAACGGAAAGTTGAGCTGATTTTGAGCTCACATATTTTTGAGGCCCCTTTACAGGTTGGACCCCAGTCATGCAGCAGTCTATACACCATTTCAGAGGTTCCCTTCAGCACTGTGGAGGCTACAGGGCCTATTAGCCAATAGGAAGGGTGACAGTCCCCTATAGTGTATTCATTCATTCAGCGAAGTCTGCTCAGCGTACCTTCAGCATCTTCTGGCAGGCATTGGATGAGTGAAGCGAGCAGACAGTGCCGTTAGAAGAGAAACGACTTGGCTGAACTCATTACCGCTGGTGCCCATCACCTCGAATTTATCAAGTTGTCATCGTGGGCTGTGGGCCATAAGTTTCAAACTGACACTTTATAAATTTTTCATTTATTTACTGATGCTTTCACAGCATTCTATTCGTGATTATACTGCGCTATTTCTAAGAATCATGATCAGATTATTATTGCTTTAGTCTTAGCAGGCCTGGCTAAACATACAAACGTATTGCCACACTCCATTTTCAAGTTTTGTGATCGCCCCATTACATGTTTAGGTGCAGCCTTGCACAAACCGCGTTGATTGACAAAGAACCACTGAGATAATCTTAGAATCTTCAGATACATTTACACACACAACATGAACATTACAGATTCTTCTGGAACTTACGTGGCCACTACCAAAACTCTGGAACATTTGATGGCACATGTATATATATGCCAATGCACATCACCGTTGTCAGTTGATCGACAGCCATACCCTTTTCACCACCATCGGTGCCAGTGTGTATTGCTGTAGTCAGTCCTTATTAGTTTCCCGCCCTCAAGCTCGGCGAGATGAAGAGTTTCTTCTTTCACACGCTGACGGTTGCCTTCGTCGATGTTACGACTATGTGATATCTGGTGAAGGCGCTGTGTGTTGATAATCCGGACGTCCCCGTCAAGCCGTGAACACAGTCTCAGTCAAGCAGGAGACATTGACACCAACTGGGATGAGCGAGCTAGCTGCAGACAATGAGGGCTATCTCCAGAGCTCAGGCCCCTACTACGTGATGTTTGAAAGATCAGGGTCAGGATCACTACTGCGACAACTCTGACAGCTACTGTGCCAACACCTACTACGATCGTGTTGCAGCAGCCAAGAAAGCCACCGACATTCCGTGGATCAATCTTTGAATACCCGAAAACCTGGCTGGAGATGTAAAACTGAGTGGACACTTTCAAACATTAAAACCCAGAATAGAAGCTGTGTCACGTCTTCTGCCTAGAAAATGCACCAAGAACTTGGTTCGAGAATTGGGAATCGGCACAATGAACCTCGGATCCCTTCCCTGTGCATTATTGGGCACGTTCACGAGCGTATCCTACAAAGAAATGGCCGTATCTTTGCTGGAGACACGGGTGCAACTACCGAACGAGAACGTCACCATCTTTACCGATGAGGTGACCCAACTTTTCCGGCAGGTTGACGCTTTTATGACCAAAGACAAAGAGGTTTAGCTGCTTATGCGAGGTGTGAAACAAGGACTGTTCACAGGTCTTGTCCGCAAGCTGCTTAAGGCAGGCACCAAATTCGTCATGAAGGCTTCAACAATTAAAAAATCACGCGAAATGCGAACACTGCAGTACAATTACTCAGGCCTGCTTACATGCCACCCTGAAGCGCACTCACTAGGCACCGATGACCTTGCAGAAACGATGAAGGCAATCATGAAAGAGAAGCTACGCAAGTTATTACCTTCACCACAGCCTCAAGCTGACTCGATCACCAGCATTGTTTATGAGAAAGTTCGGCAGTTGCTTAGAATTCCCGAAGCACTACAGCCTGAGCCAGAAGCTATCAGCTACGCCGCTGCATTCCACTGCAGCGCTCCTATAAGGCTGCATCAGGACGCTGCCTCACCTTAGTTCTGCCGCCACTGCTATCAATGCCATACCGCCCACCTGTCAGCCAGCACTACATTCTGAGGAAGACCAACATCTTGCGTGCTCCTGACCACCACCCACTATGTTACCGCTACGGTGAAGCCAAGTACACGTACCGTCGTTGCCAATAGATGGGACTGTGGGGTTTTGCCATCAAAGCGCTGCGTCTGCAGCCAGGAGAGGGACCTCGCAGCATTGCCAACTACCTCGCAGAAGCACAGTGGACACCCCGATGGTCACCCCAATCACCATCGCCAGATCACTACATGCCATTTCACTGGCCCAACACAGGGCTAGTCGCCTAGTTCCTATCCGAAAAACTAAAGGCAGCAAAGGATGGATGTGCAGTTGCTGTACGACTAAATACCGAAGATCCTTCGACACCACAATACGACTTCAAGAACCTGCCACAACTTGAATGGAGCCCTGGCATCGAAGCATTGCAGCCCTAGGAAAACCAGACGGCACAATGTCAGATGACGAACTAGGGGCCCCAACATTTTCATCAATGGCACCGGAGCCAGCTATTCTGTTATCAGTGGGCCATCACTGTGGAGTTGGAGAAAGGCAGAACCATCTGGGCAGGCCACGAAATCTAGGCCGCTGGCGGTCACATAGTAATGCTAGTGGGAATCTGCACAGTGTGAGTCTATTAACAACCGGCTTTATCCCACAAGCTTTGTAGTACTACAGTGGTACTCGAGAGATGTCATCTTTGGTATGCACTTCTTATGCCCTCATGGTGCTGTCATTAATCTGAAATGCAAGTAGATAACTCTATCCACAGAAAAAGCACTTCCACTGCACACGCAGCCAGGAAAGCAAGCCTTGATTGTGCTTGAAAACCAAGTCACCATTACCCATCACTCCAGCGTCAGCATTTCCGTCAGCTCTCAGGAATCCCCGGATCTGCAAGGCATCATTGAAGGCGACCAGCAGCTGTTGATCGATCACGAAATTTTCATCGCAAGGGGAGTAGCCGAGCTGCTAGGGAAAGCAACAGTGATGCTAACAAACTTCAGAAATGAGTACAAACACATGAGCCAGATCACCGCAGTCACCTAGATAGAAGCAATTGTGAAAGCTAGCAACGTTTTCGCCCTCATCATGTCTACTGAACCTGCTTCTACGAATCGAGGTACCAAAGAAGGTTTCAACGTCAATTTGAGCCTGCCAAAGACGAGCAAGACCATATCGAAGCCCTTCTCCTGAAAATCAGATTGCTTCTCATCGTCGTCGAGAATTCGACAGACCCCACTCGCGAAACACTGTATCAGAACAACAGAAAGTGCCCAACCAATCTGTTAGAGCGTGTACAAAGTTTCGATGTGAGGACGAGAAGCCATAAGAAAAGAAGGTGACGAAATACTACGTAACAACATAATCTAGCTGTCTCTGTGTGTCTACCTTGGTGTTTGTGAAGAAAATCATGCAGATATACAAAGAACCACCGAGAGAACCTTAAAGCTTTCCAATACAATTACAAGCACAGTGTAAACATTACTGATTCTTCCGGAACTTGCATGGACGCGAGCGATAACGCCGGAATATTTGTTAGCACATGTATAATGCCAACGCAGATCACCATTTGTCAGTTGATCGACCACAGACACTCTGTTCACCGTTATCAGTCCCAGTGTGTATTGCTGCAGTCTGACCTGATCAGTTTCCCCGGCCACATGTTCGGCCAAATGAAAAGTTTCTTCTTTAAGACACCGACTGTTGCTTTCGTCAACGTCACGACTATATGACAATATGACCTCACCAATAATGACAAAATGTTGCTAATGTTTTATCCTCAAGATTAAATGACGGAAAGCCTTGGCTCATTGTGCTATTTATTTGTTGCCACGAGTACAGTGGTGAGTAGCAAGCGCAAGCTCGAATTAAAGTTGGTGGTCATGTCAGCATGGGTTCTGCTATGTTAATTTGTAACTAGACTTACCAGCATTTACTGATAAAAATAATTAAATGCATGTCATTCAGATGCAAAGAATGATAAAGATATTATGTATTGATGTTATGTAACACATGCCAAGCAAGCACAGATATGTCAACTCTGCCAATGTTAACGTAACAATATTTGGAACTATTTTGATGTTGTGCTGCAGTAGCATGGCGCTTTCTTATACCCCATAGCTTTGGTAGTGCTGAATGGTAGTACAATGAGGTGGAGTAAAGGTCACAGGGTATCTCACAGGGTAGCAAATGCATTATATTGATAATGATGTCGCAAAATGCTACCAATTCAAATTGGTACACCATCTGTAAGGCTATATCAAAATATGTTCATCACTAATACGCATTCAGGGGCACCTTTGCATGCAGGAGAATACAGAAACAGAATGATATTGGGTTTGAAATTTTTGGTGCCAGGGGTCCTTAAAGGCCAGTAAACAACCCCGATTTCCAAAACTTCTTAATGAAGAGAAATTTGCGCACTTTTGCAATGCAAACATGCTGCCACATAATTTTTGTGAATAAGTGTGATAATAAGGAAGTTACGTGAAGCTGGAACGTCTGTTTCAGCCGGTTTCAAATGTTCACGCATTTGCTCGCCACCCTTCTCCGCAAAGAGCCCGTCGTCAGGACTTTGCCCAATTCAGCAATTTGACACAATGTTTATGAAATGTCATCGGTGTGCAGCCAATGACCGAGCGGCGCCTCTCCGATAGAAGCACGTGTCATAACGGCACGAGCAAGAAACATGGAGCGAGAAAAGCGAGAAACACTTTTTGCTTCACGGTAAAGTAGCGAGACGCCTCTTTATCTCGGAGGCTTTTGTTCTTGAGATATCACTTCTTCTAAAGTCTCCAGCTCCACAAAAGGTCAGAAGGCATCATAGAAAAAAAAAATGTGGACTGCACGACTGAAGCTGCCTTGCTGCAGGGCCAAGGCGACGTTTTGTAGGGCAAACAACCAATCGCTGAGCTCAGTGGTGCGTAACATTGCGCATGGGCAAGCTTTCGTCAGACTACGCCTACATGGGGAATTGCTTGGGCGAGAGAAACAGGCACGGGATGGTTTTTTGACATGGAAGTTCTGCGCAGCGAGAAGCACTATTCAACAGATGTGGTGGCCGTGGTCTACTGTGCGAATCGGCAAGCTCATTTTGGTGGTGTAAAAAAAAAAAACGGAGCCTGTTTTTTGTTCTTCTGAACGCTGATCTGGCTGGTTCATTTCCTGGGCAACACAACTGTTGGGAGATTAGCTGCAAGTAAGCACCGTGATCCCCATATGTGGGTTAAAATGAGAACTTGCTTGTTATGTGGTCCCTAAGTAATATTGAATAAAAGTCATCTAATGAAAACCTTAGAGATTTCAGTCCCTAACTGTCACACTGATGGCAAAAAAGTGTTTACATGGAAGCCCTAATGTCAAGATTAAGTGTTTGTGGGCAGTACCCAGAATGTGCTTTCACGATGTTCTCTTTCTGGCACAGACTGCAAAGACTGGATCTCAAGCAATGGACACTTCGTAACAGTCTCGCAGACACGCTGTGCAAAATGAACGAGTTGCGTCGACTGTTGTTCTGGCCTCTGACCACTGGTTCGGTGGGTACCTTTGCTTTGCTCTCTCTCTGTGTTTCATTGGTCGGCTTGCAATCCTCTGGTTGGCTTCCTTGCAGGGAATTCTAATTCTGATGGCTGGTCAACATTTGTGTCTTTTTCTTGCTGCATGTTAAATAATGAAAAAATGTCTCAATAAAACTTATATCAGGCAAAAAAAGCATGCAAATATTCTAGAGGCAGGCCGGCGGCGGGAGGGCACGGAAAGCGACAACACGGAACCGAGCTGTGGCGATGCTGACAGGAGACTAAGCTTCTATGTTTATTCAGGCGGTTTTAAAAAAGGGAAAGACACGCGATTGTTCGGTGAGACTCAAGTCACATGACTCGCATGGCCACGCCTATTGAGCGGTAGAAAACAGACACAGCAGAGGCCTACCTCCACATTGTGACACAAACAGGAGCCTTTACCACGCTGACATCTTTGCACGCCACCGGGAGGTCGCAACAAGAGAAGATTTCCCAGTGTATTGTTGATTGATTTGTGGGGTTTAACGTCCCAAAACCACCATATGATTATGAAAGACGCCGTAGTGGAGGGCTCCGGAAATTTTGACCACCTGGGGTTCTTTAACGTGCACCCAAATCTGAGCACACGGGCCTACAACATTTACGGCTCCATTCCCAGTGTATTGTTGACAATAACAGAGTGCAGAGCCAGTTGGCAAGTATTCATTCTAAAAGACTGGTCGGGCAAACACAGACTCAAGGGAGAAGCCAAGACATCACAAATGCTGATTAACCACTTGGCATTCGTGATGTCTTGATGTGTTATGTCCTTCATTTCATGCCCTGCCTTTTATAATCGGTATTAATGAGAACTACCAATGATTCTAGAAAACGTATACGGGATGTTGGTAGCTGTACTTGCATTGTAAATGTGAAGAAAGCAAAGCTGACGAAAAGGTAACTTGCCGCTGGGAGTGAGCAAACGTGCAACCTTTGAATAATGTATCTAATGCTGCGGTCATCCGCATGGAGATGGAGGGATGACAGCAGCAGGTCATCCCGCCATCTACTTTATAGGGTATGTATGTGCGATTAAACCTATGTGTGTCCGTCAGCACCACTAGTAGCCATGACAGCAGATGTTAAACACTCTTTTTCTGCCTGTTGCGTCACAGAGCATGAAGTTTTAATACAAGCTGGCAGCTGACGATTGATTCCTCACTTACTACCTGAAGGCCCTTAAATTTTTACTTCTTTCCTTCAATCACAGCAAGGGCTTGGTTCTGGCAGACTTGATGCCTTTGGGTAGTGTGTGAGGGAATATTGTTCTGTGTTAGACATTTGTCGCTCATTGCGGTAATGTTGTCGCGACGAAAGTTTTGAAAGATATTCTGGTACTCCAAGCAGGTGAGTCGCACTTTCAAATTGGAATAGAGTCAACTCTTGTTGATTAGAACTCAAAGGGACCTCAGAATTTTGTTTGAATTATCAGAAGCTCTCAGATTGATGACTCTTGGTGAGCGGACACAACACAGTAATGATTAGGCATTGATTTTAGAACATTTAAAAATTGTGTAGTTTTAACCCCTAACTGCACGCAATGAACAGAAAGCAGAGGAGTAAAGTCCATAAGTTTATTGCCCATCTACTGCTGATCAGACCTTTTATTATAGAAATCAACTGCTTCATTGCTATAGGTGACTTCAGCACAAAACTCTCTATACCAGTTGAGAAGCATCACGGTTTACCATGCGTGTGCTTTGTTTCAAATATTTGTTTACTAGCAAAGCCTGTTTCGTTTAAGTCCTCAGGTGCTTTTTATACATTTTTAGACTGTTAGGGTTATATAAGCATGCAAATTTTCAATTAGTAGTGGGAAAGTAGCACATATTTTTGGTGAGAAACTGCAAAAGCTATGAATTAACCAATTGATGAAGTTTGAACGAAGAGGCTTTAGATACACCAAAAAATACAGGGCCAACCAAAAAACTGAATTTTGTTTGAATTTACTAAAAGTTTAAATTATCACAGTTTGAACTACGGCGAGTCTACTGTATAAATGTGAGAAGTGCCTTGGTGCTGCTCAGATCACAACTCTCAAACCAGCTTTGGACCGTCCAGCATGCCATTGACACTGCGTAGGCGCACCAGCTTTCAGCAGCCAATAGGCAGCCGACTTGAGCAAGTTTGCCTTCCCATTAGCAAAAATAAAGAATTTATTCCAAATCATTGTGGCTAACAGTGCCAACGAGAAAGACTATAAGTGAATGCAGCACGGTGCTGCTGTGTCCAGCTTGCCCAGTTTTTCATTTTAATTAATTTCGAGCTGGTCAACAGATGTGCTGAAAAAGCCTACTTGAAATTATTTATTATTGGCCCAAGCTTTGCTGTAGTGCAGGGGCCACATAGTGTTGCTCCACCTACTGTAATGGCACTCGCACCTTTTGAGCTTGCACTGCAGTTATGTTAATAGCCACTGCTAGTGATTGAAGTCTTTCATAACCATGCTGCGAATACATTCAGCATGTATCAGTGGAACTAGCCTAACGGCCAAGTCTCCCCAATTTTCTGGCTCCCAAATTTTCACCAGTTTTTACGTTTGTAGGGTTGTCAGGAAAATCTCCTGGAAATCAAAATTTCTGAGCGTGATCTGGCTGCATTGACAAAAACGCAGCCCAATCTGATCCAGGTTTTTTGCGAAGCCATCTCATTTTATTGGAAAGGAATTTAGGGAATCTTCATTTCAATCTACAGTAGAATCTCAACGATGCGAGAACAGCACATACGAATTCCTGAGATTTCTTAGCAAAATTACACTCTTTTCATTGGGGCAAAATTTGCATGTTCCGAACACTTTTCCTCATTGTGGCAGGTCGTAGAAACTTCATAGTACCAGAACCATCGAATGAAGGCCGAGAGCAGCATGCTTAAAGCTTTGGAAGTACGCGTATGGCCAGCATATGCACTGTTTTCACATGCACTACGTGTGGTTTTCATTTGCCAGCAAATGCTGTGGACAAGACTGTGGTTGCCCTTGATACGATCATGTATAGCGGTATAGCGACAACCTAACTGACAGAACTTTGAAAGTCCACGCACTCCCAACGCTTGACTAGTCAAAGCTACATTGCTTTCCACAAACACTACAGACGATAAAATGGTGGCAGATGCGATCATAGATAGGAAAAAAACGGCTCAGTTTTGAAAGCACGTGCGCGAAACCACGGTCATGGCGATCATCGATTGCAACTACTAACGCAGGGTACGCGGCAAATGCAGCAATAGATTAAAGGCAATAAAAACATAAAAAAGGCTAGAAACATTTTGGTTTCTAGCCTTTTTTTCTAGCCTAGGCATGCTTCAGTTCATTTGAAAAAAAATTAATTTTGCTAGTTGTCTTGATGACGCAAAATTTTAGGAGTTCAGAATATTTACGCACCCCCTTTGTGACTCGTACCTTTTGGTGTAGTTGGGAAATCATACCGCTGTGTGTTCAGCCGCTCCAAGCCATTATGAGACGTAATGCCAATGCTTGCGAAGACCCCCCCTCCGTGTTTTTTTGCAATGTTTTTTGTTGTTTTTTTTGTGCAAGGGAGGAAGGGAGGGAATAAATCAGCTTGACCCCCCTTCTCCACTACAAAAGTACCCTGGATTCAGAAAAATTCTATGAACTAGCCTACCCCATACTGCTGAGGGACCCCCCCCCCCCTTTCTACTCTAGTGGCATGGAGTTTGGATATTAGAGACTTTGAAAAGACAGACCCATTTTGCAGGACTATGATGGTCCTTTGTAGCAAAGTATGAGTGTGCAAATATTCGAAATTTCAAATATTTTTCTAATAGTGTTTTTATTTGATTTGTATCATCTATTCGAACTTCCGTATTTACTCGCGTAATGAATGCACTTATATAATAAATGCATCACTAACTTCAGTTGTCAAAGTTTGGATTTTTTTTCCCCGCGTTATAAATCCACCCTTTACATTCATCCGCTACAGTCCCGCTAATTGACACTTTGTGCCTCCTCACCCGCTGGATCTCTTCCGTTTTTTATTATTACTCCAACCCCCCTTGGCCACCTCGGCTTGTTTCCTTGCCCCCTTCGCCCGTTTACTCGTGCCGTATTCATTTCTTTCTATTTGTGTGCAGCACATCTCCTATTTTTTCTTTATCTGTGTGCCACAGGTGGGTTCACGAACGGTGTCAGTGTAGAGACGTCTGAGCCGATAAGCACATAGCGAGCGAAGGTCACGAAACTGCTCGCACCAACCGACGGTCGCTTCTTGCGAATACAAAACAAGGCTCAACCACCTGCACACAATTTTAAAAAACCACGTGTACCCAATGTTCAGCGCCAACGACAGAGTTTGCTGTTGAAAAGGTGATTTGTTGCTATCGTGTCGCAGCTTTCTGGCAAACCAGAAAAAAAATCGCTTGTTGCCCAGAAAAAATCGTGACGATTTCCGCAACATGGTAGCAACCCAAATTGTCACTTCGCTTGTTCTCCGCGCGTACAGAAACTTCTCATGTGGAAGCGAGGTGGCGGACGTATTTTGTCTATAATCTTGTGGTCAACAGTAGCTTGCTGCATTGTTAGTTACTTGCACAATGTCAGCGGAGGCGCAGCCGTCGTGCGAGGTTGTCGCAAAGTTGGCGAATTGCGTCCTCATGCACGGTTCTGGATGTCCCTCGAGATCACAGCAGATACCACAGTTGCAGTTAAACTATTGCTAGAAAAAATAGCCACAAGACACCTTTATGGCGTGCCCGGGTGGCGCGGGGACAGCTTGCAAAAGATAGCGCCATCAATTACTGAAGATGAGTAAAGTGCAACAAAGAAGCTATTTTTAAACAGTGTTTGCGTATGTTAATTGCAAAAGGCTAAGCTACCTACCGTATTTTCGCACGTATAACCCGCCCCTGCATATAAACCGCACCCCCACTTTCAGCTCACCGAGAAAGAAAAAAAAAATCCTCGCGTATTGCCCTCACATTTGATATACAGGAAAGGCTGTACAAAAGCTATTTCTCAAGCA